TTTTATAGTGGCCTGGGTGCTGTGGGCCTGGCACAGGTGGCCACTACAAGAAGCCACCTTGAATAGTTTCATCAATTCCAAGGAAGGGGTCTCCAAGTGGCATTGGTTTCTAGGATGTTCCTCAGGGTATGTCCACACCTGAAAGGCACTTTACCACCCTTGGCTTGAAAAGAGCTTGGATTTTCGTTTTATAGTGGTCCTGGGTGCTGTGGAACACCACAAGAAGCCACATTGAACAGTTTCTGTCAATTCCAAGGAAGAAGTTCTCCCAGTGGCAGGGGTTTCTAGAATGTTCCCTAGGGGCATTCCCCACCAGAAAGGTGCTTGACCAGCTCTGGCTCCAAAAAAGATTGGTTTTTCATTTTATAGTGGCCTGGGTGCTGTGAGTCTCTGTCAATTCCAAGGAAGAAGTTCTCCAAGTGGCATTGGTTTCTAGAATGTTCCTCAGGATCTTTCCCCACCTGAAAGGTAATTTACCACGTCTGGCTTGAAAAGAGCTTGGTTGAGACTACAAACTCAAAACTCAAAAATCAAGCCTCTACAAATTCAAGTGCTTTCTATAGAATCAGAATCCAACCTACCTCACTGTAAAACATCCATCCACTCTAAAATAAACTCTCAACCTTCTACTTTTCGAAGGTTCTGAGACTATAAACTCAAAACTCAAGACTCCACAAATTCAAGTGCTTTCTATAGAATGAGAATCCAACCTACCTCACTGTAAAACATCCATCCACGCTAAAATAAACTCTCAACCTTCTACTGCTCCAGGTTCTCTCTATAGAATCAACACCTTTGTCCTCTATAAAATGCCCTCAATTTTCAGATATTCTCTATAAAATGAGGGTGGTCAACCTAGTGATCCATCAACATATGATTCTCTCACCTCAGATATCCTCAGAATGGATCTTTTTCAGGTAGGTTGACTTTTGATTCTATAGAAATTCTCTATAAAATGCTAGGTCATTTTGGAGCTCGACCTCTCCCATTCTATAAGCCCAAGGGGGATTATACAATATATACATATTTTATATATATACTATATTGTATGGATTGGTCCTTGGATAGCCATACCACGGCTTTTTGGGAACCTCATGTTGAACATCCCCCTTTCTGCCCTCACTTTCACAGCATGGGTTGGCTTCCCAACCGCATCCTTCAGCTCCTGGGCGATGTGATGATACTTGTCCAAGAACCTATCGTGAAGGTAAGGAACATATCTGAAGAATCTGAAGTACTTCTTGTTGAACTGTTGCTCAGAACAAGAATTGCTTCAGATTCAAACACCCCTATACAATCCTACACAATTGAACTTCAACCAAACAAGAGAACACCCAACCAAATCCAGGGAGAGTCCAAACCACTCAGACCCAACCCATCTCAATATTTAGCGAAAAAACGAGCTGACACCGGCGAATCGTTCGGATCAAGAATCGCGATCTTTGGCAAAATAGAACTTTTGCAAAGAAGTTATTCAAAGCATCAAAGCCGCCTTGTACACCCTGTGATGGAATGACTCACGGGTTTGGGACCCTATTTCCAGACCAAACGTCGTCTGGGACTGGAAGAGTTACGACCACATGGGGATGGGTCAGTCAGTTTCATGGGAAAGCGTTGGTATGCCATGTGGTCGTAACTATTCCAGTCCCATCTTCGTCTGATCTCGGAGTTTTTTCGTGTATCTACTGTAGTACTCCCTTCAGGTCTGCTCTGAAAGGGGCAGCCCACTGACTCTGTCCACTCCATCGTCCAACTCTGCAGCCCTCCAATTGGAGGAAAGACCCCAAAACCTGAAGGTTTTGAAAAAACAACTCTGTACCACCCAGCACCCACACCCGTCTGCAGCATTCTGATTCAAAGATTCTCAAACGACCAATTGAGATCTTCATGAAGGTCATCAAGTGGTCTATTTTTGGGTCACAGAAGGTCCTTGTGATGACTCAAGACTTCACAGATTCTCCACATCAAATGTTTCAAGGCCCTGAGGGACATCATGACCCTTGGGGAGGCTTACACCTGTAGCTAGACTTCATGCCATTTGACACCATCTCGTCAACGTTGGGAACTCTTTGACTTAGCCGGATTGGTCTGACCAAATGGCTGACTAGAGTGTCTTTCCACCCCAACAGCGGCCCTGTGGATGCAAGTTCCGTAATTGGAACGGATCCTCCATAAACACATGTTTCAAGCACCACATGAAGGCAGGCCAACCTCAGATCGGCACCCAACAACTGCTCTCCTTGAGACTGCCCTTGATCGAGCCCACTTCCTGGAGGCAGATTTGTCGACCAATCGGATTGGTTGACCGCGATGCGAAGGCGAGTGGAGCTCCGCAGTGTCAGGGCGAGGGCCGCAGGATGGATCGACAGTTCTCTCCCGCACGGAGGTTTTTAAACCGACCAACTTGTGTTGTTGTCTTTTTTGTCTAAGTCTGTGTTGGTTGGAGAGAGACCAACTGCTGGCAAGCTGGTGTTTGGGATTGGGAAAGGTCATGCTGGACTGCCAAAATTTTGCCGGGCCTTCGCAATGACCTACTGACCTGGGTGTGTCCATTCTCAATCGCACAATGCCACCAAATGGCTTACAGTAAACATCGCAGTAAGCAACACACAACTCATAGATGTCAAGATACAACACATGAGGAAAGAAATGAACAAATAATATCCGGAACCTCAATTGTGACCTCCAGTTAATGGTAGGCGAAGAGTACGCCCGTGACCATGCGAAAATATAGATAAAGCAAGCCTGGCAAGCAATTAACTTTAAACAACAAAACTATAGCTTAAACACTCTCCCAGATAACTACAAACTGAATATAGCTGGTCTCCCTTCATCTTTTTCAACAAACATTATAAGACACTTACCAAAGACTTACTTTCTTTTGTACAGCAACTCTTGGAATTGTTTAATTAGTGGAAGTTCGGAGTGGGGGTCCCCAGTTTGTAAAAGTATGTATGATTAAATACTCCAATGATTGGGCCTGGACTTTCCTCCTTCACCAACTGCGGGCATCAATCCAAACATCCCTAATTATCAAAAAACAACTCCACCATGAACCCTGCACTGAACTCAGCGGCACCACAAGGCAGGTGCCCGCGAACGGGCCCGGCATTCGTTCGCCATTTGCCCCCTCCCGCGCCTCCTTCAATGCGTCGATGTCTGCGAGGACGATTCCGAAGGCTTTTGCGAGACTCTTGAGAGGTGGCCTACAAACATTCCCGACTACAGGTAGTTTCTGGAAGCCTTTCGATAAATGACGATAGGGATCGATAGGGCGATGATTCTTTGCTTTGACACGTGCTAGTGATTCACATATTCGAATGATTACAATGCCCTGCTGTCTGCTGATATATGTGATACTAGCTGTGGGTCAATACCAGTCTCACCAGGCTAACCATCCTTAATCTATGCGTGTACTCTGTCTGTGGTCTTGGATGTGGTTGAAAAGACTCGACCTTCTTCCGCCAAAACAACTGCCCTTCATTACCCTTCCATATTTGGCAATATTTGGCATCTGGCTAGGATATGCATGGACTCCATCATGATTCATTTGTTGGCAAAGAATAGGAACACAAACTTGGAAGACCATCCCAAATAGGGTCCAAACCATGGATTCAATGGGCCATGCACCCCTGGAGTAGAACAGCAACCTGAACCTGCCCACTGTCGGAAGATGGCCGTACGAGTGAAGCCTTTCTCACTCGTCTTGGACCATGTCGGCATGTCGGAAAGTTCTCCCCAAAGACCTTCTGCTCCTCCAATCTTGATGGCCTCCCCGTGTTCCATGTACCTCGGCCTTTGGCTCTTCCTGTGTCTCCTTACATGTTTGAGACCTCACCGTGACAGGAGAAAGAACACATCGCCGGCCTCCAACGCCAACGTCGAAGAGGCTGTCGCGCGGTGGTCTCCCCCGCGGCGGCGACGGCTCCTGATGTGGAGTCAATGGACTGATCAGGTCGCAGGATGAGTCAGTTGGTGGGGGTCAATGACCCGGACAACGCCTGAGGATTGAAATGGAATAACCAACGCTGCAAGAACCAATGGGTACTGGTTCAGGCTGATGGGTACTGTCCAGGTACCATTTTTGCTGATGGAAGAACCACTGGCAAGAAGTGCGCTGATGGGTACTGGCGCATGGAATCCATACCTGATTTAGGCTGGACGCGATGAAGAAGGGACGTGATGGAATTATGCCCTGCCATGTAATTGTTTGTTAATTTTAGGGAAAGGAGCCGAATATGATCACCCCTCCAATGCCTCCAAGGTTACCAATGATCTGTCGCCCGGATTGGCGGTTCAACTTTCTGGGTTTGAGACCACCGAAAACCGAGGGTCCGAGCTTGACCCTCCGCCGCGGATTGGATTTGCATAATATGGCGAAACCTAGCACCAACTTAAGGGCTGCCTTGCTGTATCACCATATTCTGCTGTGGGCCCGCTTCTAAACGGAGACTCAACAACACATCTCCAACCTCAAAAGTGTACGTCTATCTATGTTGTTTTGAGCAGGGCTTTTTTGAGCGCAGCCAGAATCGGTACATGCAAAAGAAGGTGTCATAAGGGAACATCAAGCATCATTGAACCCTGGTCCACCCTAGTCCACCCTACAAGGTCAACATGACAAGAAGAGATCGTTTTGCTCTAACCAAATCTAACCAATGCAGCCTACACAACAGCTGGGTGCAGGATTGCTCCAAACTATTCTCTTGAGTGCCAGTGTCTTGCAAAACGACGCACAAACAGGGCACCAGCACCCGCCTTGGGGCTCTTCGACGGCTCTTCGTGAGGCATCGTATCAGTGGGTGGTGGCCTGGGCTGGCGCAAAACAGCGCGCGGAAGGAAGAGAAGCGGCGCCATCGAGTTATTACCGTCTGACAGGCAGTTGCTGCTGGTGTAGCTGCTAGTTCTCACCCGAACTTGCCTCAAAGTAGTTCGTGCCTATTCATGAGTCAAACAAAGCAGCAAAGGTATGGACTTTGTCAGCTCAGCAATCGGTTCTGACTCCACCGCCAGAGTGTTCATTTCTCCCGCCGCCGTGCCTCAAGGTATCAGCTGGGTCCTGATCGGCCGGTCTCCAGCCACTGGCCACATCAGTCTTATGCTTCACTCATGTCTCCAAGTGTCCGAGCTCCACCCCAAACTGTCCACATCAGATTCATCAAATCACATGGGTGAGTAGAAATAAATATTGGGAGACATCCCCAAGACCTCTGGGAAAATGAGCAACTGACGACAAATCGATCGGGAGGTGCCCCTATTCTAATACACATCGTCATGTGCCGCTGCAAAGAGCACGATCCGATCGCTTCATCTCCGAAACGACGGAGCCGGTGGGACTTGGTGCAGCTGAAAGTGCAAGGGAGACTTGGTGCATATTATGGAAACACACACACAATTGCACCTCTCATGTGTACGGGCATGGAACATAATGGAACTGTGCCAGTTGTACTTGCCGCCCATCACCAAACGTAGAGAAGGAATCCAATAATCAAATCTTGATGATTTCAAGCAATACTGTTATGTTAATGTTCAATCCTAAATAGTCAAAGTTTGTGCAAATTGTTCCCACACAGTGAATAGCGTAGTGGGCGGGAGTAATCAAGTTTCTTGGCCCTAGGACAAATATCCAAGCCTACTTTTCTGTTGTACTCCTATTGCTGCCTTTTAGGATCCTTGTGTAACTCTTCTGAGGTTTGCTTGATTCATGGAAATCTTATATAACCATTGTCAGAAACCTTTATTAGAACTCGTCGGTTTCATTGTTCCAAACAGTTTTTCAAGAGGGTAGTGCACAGGCCGAGGGGAAGCTAAGAATAGGAATTGTTTAGGGGGTGGGATCAATAAGCAAACTTGGAGCACCAGAAAAGCATATTCTAGCTTGCTCTTTTTTCTACTACTACTACTACTACTACCACCACCACCACCACGACTGCTACTGCTACTGCTACTGCCACTGCCACTGCCACTGCCACTCCCACTCCCACTACGACGACTACTACTACTGCTACTGCTAGCTACTACTCCTACTCCTACTCCTACTCCTACTCCTACTCCTCAATACCAAATGCTTTTGGCGGGCTTGACACAATTCACGCTCCCTCGATTTAGCTGTGGGGTAGCGTTTTGACCATTTGAGATCCAATTTAGCTCAAAACAGGGTCACTTTGAACATGTTGGTCCCTTTTGGTTTGATTAATTAGTCTCAGGGATAAGAGTTAAGGATCTCCAACGCAATTCCCACTTCACCAAATCCGGAGACAGCATGCCAACCAGGCGCCTCCATCCAAAAAAGAAGAACCCCGTGAAGAATCAACAATCTGATTTTCTGCCCTCCCTTCTTCCAACGGACTTCTTGGATAACTACTTCTTTTAGGGGTTGCATCATCTTGCCGTGGTGTTCATCGAACAAAAACCATGCCGGTCCTGCACCGGTTCCTTCGAGCCGCCGCCTCCGCCCCGTTTGGAGAGTGTCGCCGTTTTTTTTGGGCGAGCAGAGCAGCAACGAGGGCGATGTCCCGCATTCGAAACAGAGCGGTTTCGAAACACATCCTAAAAACCACAAGGGCTACATGCCTATAGCAGGTCATTCTTTGGTATGATCCATGGATTCACCTTCCTATAGCGGGTTGAGATGGCACAATCCCCCAAGGTCGGTGAGTTTGGTGGTTTAGTAGTGGACCCCTAGTTGTCAAAGACATCAACTGGGGTGCCAGTGCCTACTGTCAATCCACTGTGATTGAAATTGAAATCGTACCATTGTGTAAGGGAAACAAAAAGGTGCAAGCATGATGCTATTGAAGACTATCCCAACAACTACTGGATGGTCTTGAATACTGTGAATTGGCTTATTCTAGAGTGGTCCACTGCAGACCTCGTAGCTCTTCCTTCCCCTACCAAAGCAGTCTCAGTTCATCTCAGTTCCCCATTATGTAATTCGTGAATACCACGGACAATTGGAGGCCAATATCTCGACATGTCTCGACGGTGGTTGGGTTGCTCTGAGCACGATGTTCGTCCAAGCGCGGCAGCAGGGATATGCTGCGAGATTCTCATGGGTCACAGGCACCTCAAGAGGCATCTCTCAAAAACAGGTTAATGCCGTCATTACAATGATCCATGAGTCTATGGAAAGAACTCTTGTGGAACAAGTGATGCCCACTGTGATGCCCATCTCATCACATACACAACAGTTTTCACCATGTCACTTTTTCAAGCATGGAACAACCAATGCAGGTGCCCCTCGAATTCATGAGGCCACTTGCCTACTTCCTTGCCGGACCCTGACACACCGGGCTTTAAGACCTCGGTCCTCTCTCGCGCCTCGTGCAGCGGTCAGGACCTCCTCTTCGGTCTTCTCTCGCTGACCTCCCCGGCGACGGAGGACCGAAGGACGCGACGTGACATGGGCGTTGAAGGGGTCGATATGACGTCTGCCAAGCTTGTATCATTGAAGATCTCGAAGACCCAGTAATATGGATGACGTGGCCACCCCTCAGCCACTATAATCATACTCTATTTTTTTTACAAGACATGTATCGAATAATCAAACATGTTGAACATATGTTGAAAAAAGAAACAGGTGGAAGCATGTCTTGCAAGAGAAACATCACACACCCTGCCACATGAGGAGTGCCTGCTGCTTTTCCGGCGAGCTTTGACACAGGTGTGTCACAGCCTCAGCCAGTGCCGATGAAGCATCACAACAGCAGTTAAGAGTAGGTTAAGGGCAATGCAAGTTGTGACTGGTAAAGGGGCAAACACATCGTTCACATGTGATGTTTGGTGAACTGTATGGAATGTCGTCAGTTGTGGCTTAGAGACACAATGCTACACATCTCTTGGTATCTCTCTCATTGAGTTCATGCACATTCAGATTAATCATATGTTCCTCAATTTACCTGAGGAATATCCCAACAATCATGGAAGTAGTGGTCCACTTCCATGTTTGTTGGAGTAGGGTCTTTCCATGTCTTCCCCCACATGTGGCTTCATCGTGACCCAGTCAGTTGGACCTGATGAGTTGCATCTGCCAGGCCCCAGCGTCGAACTCGGACTCGGCAAGGCCCAGTGGCGTGCGTAGTCCTTCCGCTCATCGATCAGCTTGTCAACCTCCAAATGTTGGACGGTGATCGGTGCCGTGACATGCACAAAACAAGTCCAACAGAAGAACAAACAGACCCGTGAGCCCCCCTGCTGTACTATACAACAGTGTGACAGAGCTCCTTTGAAACAGGAGTTGACACACACACACACACACACACGCATTCGACATGTTGAACCACGAAAACCAAGCTCCTGTGGAAGTGCTGAACACCCAACACCACTCCCCGGCCGCCCCCCCACCGGTTCCGTGGGTCCAACACATCCATGTCGTGGCTGGATGAGGCCTGCACGTCATGGCCTGTTAGTACCAACTCAACATGACTCAACTAAATGGCCGCACAAACAAAACACACACCAAAAAATAAGAAACATTCAAAACACAAAAACACACGTTGCAAACTTCAGGTTCAGGCCAGACCTCCACACCAGTCAGACAGACTTCCCACTCAAATGACACATTGAAACAAAAACACTTTCAGATTTCCAAGGAGGGGCTTGATGTTCCACGTTTTCACGTGTTCGTCGATGAACCATTCACTCACGGTATGGGTTGATGGACCGCACAGATGGTCTCTCCTCTCTTTCTCGGCTCGCTGGACCTTGGCATCGACCTTGCTCAACGCCTCTGACACTGCGTTCATCTGCACTGCCTCGATCGCGAAAAAAGAGCTCGGAGCGAATGACGAGCTCGGTACCCAAACACTCATGGACCTTCGCCGAAGGGATCGGATGGGGTCTCACGGCTCCGTACAGGAGCATCTGGAACCTGCCAAGGGCTCAAAGGAGCATCTGGGTGGGTACGAAAATTTGTGCAGCCAACTTCCAGAACTAGAAGCACCAAGTCGACTCGCAAGTCTGCTGGTTGAGCAGCATCTTCCGGAGATGGGTGCCAACATTTGCCAACAAGAACAAGCTGAAACAGCACACACACAAACTACTTTACTTCGAGTGATCCCCACTGTCGCATGTTAAACAACTGCACTGTGTCCAAGCAACAAGAGGACAGCACTTACAGTATTATTTTCTTCCTGGCATTCTATCCAACATCTACACTGACAAAACCTCTGGCATTCTATCTGGCATAGCTGCTGACATTCTATCTGGAACGGCATGTGTTCAGTTCCGCGCGTGCCCTGACTGATCCGGCGCTCTCTCTGGTGGGTGGGTCCGTGCGTGCCCGACTGACCGGATGAGGCAAATGAGGCGGATGAGGAGCATGAGGAGGAGTGGCACGTTTGATAAAATGTAAAAACCCTCATCTGGCAGGTGGGGGAGCAACCAATACATCATGCAGTGTTAGAAATTGTTGGCTTTTATCCTTTGGACGGTATCCTTTGACTTTCCGTACACAACAAATAGATAGCCTTCAGGCATGATCACCTCCTAAATCAACTTGCTTGGAGAGACACACTGTCAAAATCATTGGTCGCAACAAGACCGTCTGGGGAGACACTCATGTCACATCCAAGATGCGAGATTCTCCTTGTTCGACGTCTGCCATGCATCCATCGTGGAAGAGAGGGCCTTCGTGACGGCGGTTTTGGTTGTAGTGTTTTTATCTGTGTCAGCTGAGGCAAAAGCAGCCTTGGGGCCTCCTTGTCAACAGTGATGGTCAAAGCCCCGTGTGGTTCATGTTATATTTGAGAACTCGCCAGTTGGGGAATCAAGAACACATGAGTTGTTAGTGTTTGGACCACTAAAGTTTGAGTTGGAGACTCGCAAATCCTCAGGGATGCGTTCGAACACCAGACTTCAACCCTGGCGTCTCCCCTTGCCCTGACGTCTGGTCAATCACGAAAATACCGCCGTGGACCTGGAACTCAACATCACAACTGGCCGTCCAAACGGGGAATTTTGGGAAGCACGAGCACACATCCGGACAAAACCATAACGGTATAAAGACCACAAAATAGATAGAAAAGTAGTAGATCCCCACTAAAATTGTATTGGAAACCGTTCCTATCTATTTGGGGACCACTATACCTAATATAATATATATATAGTTTACCAGTATCCTACCAAGCCACGACTCGACAAAGTTTGTTGTATGAACTGTTTGTGGATTGACATAGATCTGATAGAAGGTGACATCAGCAGAACTTTTGGGCAGATTCACAGCCTTGGAGAAGACCGTAAGTACCTCAAAGTCACATGCTGTATTTCAGGAAATTGTGCAAAACAATGAGGGATTCGCTACAACAAGCAGATTTATCAAGGCAATTGTTGTTCTTGGGGAATTCACTTCTGGGGTTCTTACTTTTCGAAGCTCCAAGGTAAACGCAAAGCAACCGAGAGCAACACATCGGAACTTGTGGCTCTGAAACAGCAAAGGGTGTTCTCCCAAAACAATCAGTAGAATTCCAGGGCTAAAGACATTGATCTGGCAACGCGTGCAAACATCTTCCACAAAGGTGGGGTTCTTGTGATGAACCATTTGGCATAGAAACAATAGCCAGGAGTTCCATTGATACATATATATACATATGTCACTTCCTGCTGCTGTCGTCTTTTCATTGCGATATGATGATCTAGTGTAAAAAGCCTGACTTGACGATCGTAGATGCATGCATGTGTGATCATGTGTGTGTCACCATGGAGTGGGGAAACCACCAGGCGAGGACGTCCAAGCGGGTCGTGGTACAGCCGGTCGTGGTACAGGTCTCCTAGGATCCCCAAAGTTTCAGCTGCAGGCCGACCAATGAAAGGAGTAATTCGAAGCAAGCAAACAGGAACGATCAGCATATATGCAAACACTTTCCCAGGTGTAGACAGGTAGACAGGTCGTAGACCCATTAAGATGTTTTTTTTTTTCAGCCGCTCACACAAACGCCCGGCCTTAATCCGCAGATCGCAATCCTTGATCCTGCAGAAAACAAAAAGCACACGTTTGACTCAGTCCCAACCGATTGGTGTGTCCTGTAGTCACTAGACGAAATGAATATATAGAGAAATCAAAGAATGAATAAATAATGATCTTGGATTGGTTCATATATTATCAATGTACAAACATGTACCTAAAGGACCTAGGTAACTAGGTCAAAAACATATCTGCATGCCTCTTCTACAAACCCTCGACAGCAGTGATGTGTCTCGAATCACATACAGTTGTCTCCCAAATCTCTGTGGTAAGCTGCAAAGCGTTTCTGTGCAGGCTGCCAGGCTGCGCTTCTGATGGCTTCTGGTCAACCACAAAGGCCCCAGTTTTGACCCAGAGCCGCCCTTCCCATTTGAATAAACTCTTGATCGCCCACGTGTCGCTCCAAAGGGTGGCACTCCCATTATTTTCCCCATCTCGGCAAGGTCCGACATCACTTCAGAAGGCTGTGGGACATGGCACCAGCAAACCAAACGGAGGACCGGCACCAGACGTGTCGGTGGTGCGCTACATGCTGGGTCGCGTGACCCGGTCGCGGGACCCATGGATCGGTCCGGTTCACCCGAAAGCACTGGTGTCCCGGACAGCACCCCGATCCCAAGCGATTCGGTCTTCAGCTCCCGTCTGCAACTCGGCGAAGCGTCGGCCGAGAACTGTTGGCACAGCCGTTGAAACACCAGAAACCATACCACCACAGCCAAACAAAGGAAAACACGGCAAACAGAGGAAAAAAAGAACTGAAGAAACGCGTGAAAACCACATCGAAGCACAAAGAAAGCAGTGACAAAAGAGATGTCCATCCGATGTGTCCCACAGATCTGACTCGACAGGACGGAGTCGTGGGTAGGTTAGAATGAGTCACAACTTGCTCTTGATTCAGTCCTTGGAGGGGGTATTACTTCTAGTGTACGTCCGAGCCGCCCCCCAAAACCCAGGATACACACCAGGATGTGCCTGTGGGCATTACTTGGTGTGTCCTGTGGGCATTACTTGGTGTGCCGACTTGCCCGACCTGATTCCACACCAGGATGTTCATCCAGAGATTCCGCCACCCTTCCGCACGCAGGTTCTACGCTCCAAGCATCCCGGCGTCTGTCGGATGTACCTGGTCCCAAAAAACAACGACGAGCTTCATGGGAAGTAGACTGATCCATCTGCCTGTCTTCAGAGCGCGGACCGGTAGCTCGTCCCCAAGAAGTCCAACATAGACATAGAGACGTCTTTGGTTCAACTCCTTCCCTTCTCGAACAGGTGCGGTGTGGTGACAGTAGAATTCCACCGACATAGAAAGAACAAAACATCATGTGAATCTCCAAAAACAAAAACACATATATACATCCTCGGCTTCAGAATGACTCGGAGCTGAATACCAACATGTTCAAGCTGAGGGGGTCTAACTTGTTGACATGTCTTTCAGTCCTCAGCATGTCCTGCTCTCCTGGTAACAAGCTTTCCGGGCTTAGGAGATCCACCTGTATTCCACGTGACACAGCTTGCGAATTGCGAACTGCTTGCCGTTGTGTGAGTAGATCCTATTAAGTCTGTTATCCCTTCTTTGATGGTCCAACCTTCAGGATATTGGGCTGGGCCAACACCAAGATACCTTAGTTGACCGAAGTGGGAGGTGAACCTACCAGGGACTAGGGCTCCGGATTTTGACCAATAGCCCTATTGTCTTCTAACAGACCGCTCGAAGATTTCAAGCTCCATCCAACGCTGTTGCTGCTAGCGAAGGAACGCCTGACTGTCACCAGCCACTCACCAGCCACTCACCACCTCGGTCGACTCTAAAATCACCGGTCCCAACGGTGCGCCCGGTCCCCAACGCTGGGCACTTCTTCATGCGAGTGATGCGGCCATTGGTTTCCTGAAAGGGTCCGTGAAGGCGGGAGATGCATTCGGCAACGAATGCCCATTGATCCATTCCCTAGGCATCCACCGCCACCTTCTCAGAAGGTCATCGGACCCTCTAAGGCTACTAGCCTAAGTGTCCCCAATCACCTTCTTAGAGGGTGGCAGTGGATCGATAGGGATTGTAGAGAATGATGTAAACGACCCCAAACTTGGAGATGCAATACCTCATACCTCTCCATAGTCTTCTTGGGGATCATTTCGATCGTCTGCATCAGTACCGTGAAAGATGCGGGTGAAAGGTATCCAGAAATGGACATGACTTGAGACCGCTTTGATCTTACACCAGATAGGACTGTTTTGTCTCAACAAGAACGGGTGGTATGTCAATTTCTCCGCCCAAATCAATGCCCGACCCTGGGACAAAGCCTCCACCTTCACCAAGGTTTACAAATCCATGGACCTTGGTTTTGGTGTCTATCGTGGCAGGAGAAACCTGAGTATGTCTTCATCTTTCTACCAACACCCAAAACCATCCTCATGGGACTGGAAGAGTTACGCCACCATGGATGTTCGTCATGTTCGTCAAAATGTTTGTAATTCTTCCAGTCCCATTCCGGGCAAACGCTTCAGGTGCGAACGCTTCGCCCAAGGAGGTCTGGTGCTTCTCCCAGCTCCAGCTCCGACCCGAAGTGGTGCTTCGGCGGTGCGAACGCTTCGGCTGACTCCTCCTCATCCCGCTGATCCGGCGCCAGGAAACTCTCCTCACAAAGAGAATGACTTTGAGGCAGAAGCAGGGACAGCTTCCAAACATATCATAGACTACTAATAGAATATTGTGTTGAATGTAATGTCGAAAAGATCGATATTACAAACAGTTCTTATATATGTCCCATTTGTTTCAAAAACAAACTGTTATCAATGAGGATCCAAGATAAATACATAAATGGTTGTTCACCAAATAAATGTTTTCTGTTTAAGAATAGTTAGACCAAATACGAGGAAAACAATCACCAAATATTCCAGAACAACAACTCAAATTCCAGAACAAAAAACATAAATAAAGATTTGATCAATCAACTACTCATTAATGACTTACTCATTAACAAGTTTAGATGTCAATCTAAAATATAAAAAATCACTATTATGAACATAAAAGCTATATTATACATTATGTATAAAACTAGATTAACAAATAGGGAACAAAATCAATGTTTCAAATAACTACAAGAACCATAAAATTGTATAAGCCGGAAGACTAGAACCACATGTTTATTATTCAGATTGTTCATTTATTTGTTTAATGACCTATTTGAACTAGAAACATGATTACATCAACATTATGATGTGTTTTAAGCATAATAAGTGAATATGATGAAACTAGGAAACCATATGTGATTATGTAAGTTGGTAATAGATTTCTACATTAGACCAAAAACATACTTGTACATGTAACAGCTTATTCATACTATTAATATGAAGAGTATGAGTGGCAATACAAGTCATACAACAAACACTGCACATTCATCCACCTAAACAAGTTGTATGCATGTTCTCTTTAACAGAAAAGCTTAATGCAATCCATGAAGAACATCATAAATTTGTTGCTATTTAAAAAAAAAAAAAAAAACATAAAACACACCATAATAAGAGGTTGTTTTGAAACATAGGAAACCGCTTGTGAGCATGCTGAAAAAGTACAATGATTAGACCCTGAGTTTAATACATGTCATGTTATGTCGGTGAAACATCAGAATGGTCACCTTTTAATCCTTCAAACAATAAGTTCAAGATAATCACTATATATGATGAATGAACTAATATAGTATACTGTAATATGATGAACAGTTGTACGGACGGTCGGGAAAAATATGTTTCATGAAACAATAATAACAAACATGCTATTGGAAACATGAACATATATAGCCTTTGTACAAATAAACAATGATTCCAATATATATATATATATATTGAACAAATTGATGTGTATACATCTGTTGAACATCATAAGTAAATAAACGACTCTGACAAATAAAAATAATGAAATTAGAAAAGTGACTGAACATTCAAACAATAAGTAACAAATGATAAATTCACTGGATGAAATAACTCTTCTGGGCTTGGAAGGGAGTCATATCACCACCATGATTCAATGTGTTTCAGCTGTTCATTCCTGCCCATGGTCTCAACCAGAGCCTCTGACGCCAGAGCGGAGTAAGTCGCATGCCGTTTTTCTGGCTCATCAAAATGATAACCCTGTTCCACTCATTGTTGGGTCTGCAGAACACAATCTTAAGAGGGTCAATGCATTTGCTCAAGTACTCATGTCAAGCTACCAAGGAGGTCAAGCTACCAGGGTTTACGGCTTCGGGTGTCAAAACCCACAGTCATACGAATCAAGGACATAGAAACATGCCGACGTAAATATGGACCACAAATATAGACATCAGCCAATAGTAAGGACAGGAGATCTCCAGTCAGTTCAATCATGGAATGAAGTCTACTGCATAAGGAAAACCTTCTCTCCAACTGGCAGGTCGTCCTCAATATGTGTGACACATGGGATTGGAACAGGATCAATGTTTGCATCCGATGCCCTGGAAGTTACTTATGCTAAAGCTGCTCTGAAAACATCAATTGGGGGAAGCAGGTGGTGTAAGCAATTACATACTTTGACACTGTTCAACGGAAAATCTATCGAAGCAAACCAACATGCAAAACAAAAACATCACTGAGACTGTCTCTTCGCACAAACGCAGTGAAATTCTGAAAACAATAGTAATCTAAGATGAGTAATCTAAGAGTTCATAGATGTTCATCAGTTCAGGCCGTTGGTTCTTGCAAAACAAAGCCTGAATTCGGCCATAGGGAGCCGATAGCGTTGCATTTGTTTCACAGCGTCTTTTCCGGGACAGGACAACAAACAGGACAGACAAACCCACCGAGCAATCCACCAGCAACAAGACTGAGGAGTCCTCTTCAACATCCACTTGATGACCTCAGCACAAGCTGTCCAGCGCGCGTTCTAGCACTATGATTCTTGAGGCCAAGTCAATCTGTGCTCCACAACCAAATTCTGAAAGCGGGTAGAGAGATGTCCTTCTCAGTTGTTTACAAAGACCGGTTGGAAATTGCTGGAGTTGTCTGAGACCTTCCTGTGTCTGGTACGGGAAGCATCGGCTACGGCTGCTGAATCAATTGAAAAGCATGGGGCGAGTATCACGAGCATATATAACACATGTTGTCCCTTGGAACTTGTCCTACATTAATCCTCTGTATTTATGTTGGTCATTGGTCTTCCCTATATCTATAGCTATATTATATATATATATGCATAATCATCAATTATGACCTCGCCCTGTGAAACCTCCGGCGACAACAGGTTCCCAGGGGGATCCAATGACTTCTTGGCACAAGTATCACTACAAACAAACAGAGAACACACACATTGAAAGCGTTAACCGTTATCTATAGCTTCCTTGGTATGTGCCCAGTACTTCATTTGCCAAACAGCAAAAACAGTCGCACACCCACTCAACTACCTACAACATATGATCATAGTTTGAACCCCACCCCCATCCTGTGGCACCCCTCTTCTCTCAGTTCGTGTGTCATGCGGCAGAACCAGAGGTAGTTGCTCTTCCAGTCCACAGTAGCCACATCATGAAGGATGCACTGAACACCGAAGACCTCGGTCATTCTGATCGGCACCAGTCGAGAAGTCATCCATGCACGTGTCGAGAAGCGGTCGCGAAGCGGTGTGGCCTTTTTTCGGGACGACCCCCGCAGTGTCTCGAGCTGCTGGCTCGCTGGCGCTCATGGTCAGTGCTCATATTGGCGATACATAGCATGTTATGGTCCACATGGATGTGTATTAAAGTAGGCAGGCCTCCCAGGCCATCACCCCCTGGATTTTTCTGGGTTCGGGATATCGGGATATGGTTCCCAGTCTAACCCAGCCAGGGGGCCTGGGGCGAGATTGGCCTGGGGTCTCCCTATTCCAACACACATACACTCCCTGGAACTAACATGGAAGTGGAGAATGGCCCAAAAGGAAGACCGTGAAATCCACGAACCAAACAGGTGGTGCCATCCACGTAACCATGGGGCCGTTCCAGGGAGAGTAAACCACCAAACCTTCAGGATTGTGCCATCTACTCTGACTGCCTGTCACGTCCGTCCAGGCGGTGCTCCGTCTGTCCACATCGCTGACCGACATCGGTGACCGTCGCAAAAAGACACAGATCATATACCCCTACACCTCCAAGTGCTTCCTCAAAAGGTATGACTGGACCCTCCAACCCACCCCAGTCCCACCTTCTGAGGAAGTCTTTGGAGTGCTAGGGTACATGAAAAGCACAAGCAATTGTGGGGAAAAAAAAGCAATGTAAGGAGTAGCATCATGACAGATCTGGATCGATCAAACTGCCATTGCCACGGCCACTAAACAGCAAGTTCGAGGAATCAGGATGAATGAGAGATTTTCTTTAGCCATCTCAGAGCAAAGGAACACAACATTAAACAAACATAGACATAGCAAACACGTTTTCCCGTAAGCACGTAGATGTAGCAAACACGTTTTCCCCGTAAGCCTCATCTATTGACAACCTAATGTGGAAACACCACGGAACTAACATCAATACACAGGGACACCTGCTTCTCAGGAGTCAATGCATGTTGTTTGTTTTTTATTGTCTTCTAATCCTCCCTAAATCCCTGAGCTACCAGACCGCTGCAGCGGGATAGATAGCCTTGGCCAAATCACAAGCAGTGACCAACGCCAGTGCCCACCCAAGGAAAACCAACCTCCTTGCAGGCTACTGGGGCCAATGAGGATTCTGTAAACAACCATGAACTTCTCTAGTCTCTAGTGATACAACATGTGCTTCTGTTGTCAAAAGGACTCTTGGGGTCCCTGCTAAGCAGGTTGGAGAAGGAGTTGTATGTAAAGAATACTAAACATGTTTGAGGATGATTGGTGGAGGGAATGCTTAATTGATGACCAATCCCGCCTTGAGCACATTTTTCTTGCCACTTTGGAAACCAATAGAACTACGGCAACTTCCGCCCAGCTCAGTTCTGTCAGGCCACACTCAGCCAGCGTGTAAGCAGCTTGATTTCAGTGATCAGGTACAGCAGCAGGGCGTACAAGCCAATGATCGCGACCTCAAGGAGCTTGGGAAGCCAACTGAGAAGAGTTTTCCACATCAGATTCGATGGGTCGGGGCTGGTACAACCCATAATTAGGGCGTCTGCGGGTGGTTGGTTACCAGAATGCTTGGTGAATTTACTTTCATCGGTCAACCGCTGGCATGTCCAAGCCTTGAGCACTGATGGGAAAAAAAGCACTTGTCTTGAACATCGGTACATTCTTGATCTGCAACCGCAATCGTGTTCAGGGTGAACCCTGCGAAGTGCAGTACCGTTATTGAGTACCGACTCCTGCTCAGTCTTTCACTGAGGTCTTTCACTGAGGTACTCTGGGGGCATTTCTATCAAATGCCATCTAATGTTGAATGCCAATTAGTAACCCCTCCCAGAATAATGTCTGCACATTGTTGTGTTGGATTAATAACCCCGCCCGGATTGTCCGGGATTAATGTCTGCATATGTTGGTTTAGTGTTTTTTTTTGTTCAATTGGTGTATTGGTTCTATTTGTTAAACGTATACTATTGTTTTTTGTGTGTGTGTGTTTTTAGATGCTTTTCTATGTTTTTCTTTAGATGTTGAATGATTTGGATATTTTATTTACAATCGTGCTGTACTTTTAAGTGTCTTACACCATCATGCTGTACTTTTTTCTGTGATACGCTCCTGTTGTTCGGTGTGTTCGGTGCGTTTCCAGCTGAGGGACAGTGCAGCCTAGTGGCCACCATAATGAATCGAAGCACCGTGAAGGAAACCGGTTAGCCGGTGACACCCAAACTCCAGAAATCACCAAACCGGAGCTACTGCCAGAACCCAAGCGATTCAAAACATGTGCCACGGCACCACCAAGATGACCCATCGCCACCAGCTGAGCTTGGTGATCCCCTGGAAACCCAGGAGCGGGTTTGGTTGGCTTAGGTTCTACCTCTCAGACGGGATTATGAGTGAAGTCTGCTCAAAACAAGACGTCGGTATACTGTTTGTATCTGTTTGTGCATGTAAACACATCAAACACAACTGAAAAAAGAGACCGACCTATCCATTCTGCCTCTGTCTACCTCTCTGGCCTCACACAATTCAGCACAAAATCATAATCCTGTGATTGTTGCTCGCGGTGGCAAGCGTGGCAATCAACATCCAAAGGTAATATATCATCCTACCGCTAGTGAACACAAATATCATATGGGCGTGCATTAAACTAGGGGGACCCCCAATCAATGGTTTGGGCATATTTCCCTTCTTCTAGGGGGTCAAACCGGGAGGTCTCCCTACACTCCCAATAATTTGCTGCCATAGCCTGAAGCCTGTTGGCAATCGCCCACACTCTTTCAACAAAAGAAGCCACCGTCCTATGATATGAAACCTGCTGGGTGAAGTATCTTGGAGAACAAGTACAGAGCTAGCCTAACAAAGAGCTGCTACATCACGCTTTGATTCGTGCCATCAGATTTGGAAGTGGTCTGGGGAAGAGACACCACCCCACAAAAAGAGTCCTGATGGGTAGAGAATGGTAAAGAGCACGTGAGAAACCCGAGAGACCCGGATGTGCTTTACGACACGCGTGACACTTGGACAGTACGGTCATCTCCGTGGATCGGTTGAGGCTCTAGCTACAAGATCTATATATACCAACCTTTTCTACCATAATGTGCCAACCTTGATCACATCGCTATCCCTTGATGAGGGCATGCACTAGATCTGGGCCAAATGCCATCATTCCACATCTGAAAAAGGTCATGACGCCCCACAGTCATCACGCAGACAAACATTTGGACACTTCACACCCCACCAAAACAAACGTCCCCTGTTCGCTCACGTCGACACGTGCCAGTCGACACGTGCCTTCTGGATGAATCCAAAGCCTGAGGCTCTAAACTTGGGGCGCAGGAAGTAGCCGCTGCCTTGGCAGTGGTTCAGATGGAAAGTTGTCCATCTCCAAGGGGGGCAAACAGTAAAGTTCGCGGAGTGAGTTGTTTGGGGGATGGGAGAAACAAACATCGGGGTGAACGAGTCTGTTCAACCTGTCTGCGGATACCACATCCAATTTGGGGAACTCGTCCCATCCTCAGGTCCTCAGTCCTCCTGTTGGGCCACACCGTGTGGGTCGGACCCTTGGCGCAGTCAATGTGCGGTTCATGGGGATAGGATGGCCCGAGGATGGACCATTGACGGACCAATCCCGACATAGAAATCCCAGACCAGCGTTTTGAATAAGATACCTAAATGCTCTGTGGTTGATGTCTGCCCACGTCGGGACCGCGGGGACGGATGAAGCGGATGTCTGATCTATATATGTATATATAATTCTACTGAGATCTGATCTGCTTGCTTGAGAAGGGCAAAACATTATGGCTCAATGGTGAAAAAATATTGAAGATAGACCGGATCCATTCGATCTGCTTTGCTCGAAAGCTCACGGGAAAAGATGGGAAAATGCCAGGCCACGGGGAAAATCAATGGACTGCCGATTGGAAGGGGAGGCTGTCCCATGTTGGTCATAGACCCCACCAGCTCCAGCTGTACGTTGTCATCATGTTGTTCTCAGGGTGAGGTGAGGTGTGACCTTCACTCTGACATCGACTGGGACTGTTTGAACGACCTCTTCAAGTGCCCGGGCAGATCCGCGCACGTTCCTTGAGAAAGGTGCAGACCTCAGCGACACCGCGGCTGCATATAGGACAAATACTCATACACGGTTGATATCTTTTGATCAAGAAGTCTTGGAGTTCCTGTACCGCCCAAGATTTTTACATGCCACATAAGAAACAAACAAACAGACAAATAGATAGATAAATGGATTGATAGATCGATAAATACATAGATAGATTGATTGAGCCTTCTCGACTCTCCGTTGTTAGACGTTCTGGCATATTCATTCTTAGGATACCGTTGCATTGTTCAGCATAGAACGAAAGTCGGTTCCTGACTTTAGGTGTTTTCACCCGTACTTCAGGCATATTACCCTTACTGCAAAAATGGCGTCACATGGGTATGTTGGCAACTATTTATGGTTCAGGTGCGTTTGTATGGTCGACATTGTTGTATGCCCCTGGTCAGACAGCTCTCTGGAATTAAGGAAAAGGAACAGCCAAAAACTCTTGGGAGCCATGTTGTCCCTGATCATTTCTGATCATTTGGATGGGCTCGACCACAGGGTTGATAAGAACAGGTACGTGGATACAGGCTCGTCCCATCCACGACCTTCCCAGGTTTAAGCTGACCCACTCATGTAGACTCTTGATGAATTAAACACCCCATGTATTGGAGATGTAAAGCCATTCCGGCATATTCTGCCAGGGGGATTGATTAATCAACCGTCTTCACGACATGTTCCTCTAAGAAACTTAACACTCGTTCTACTTATCCATCGACTCACCCCCCGAGGTCGGTCCTTAAATGGGTCCATCGAGGGGCCATCCTCTCCTGCTCCTGGTCGTAGCAGTCCGAGAGCACTGCGATGAAGACGTTGATGGTACAGGTCAGGAAAATGAAGACGCCACCTGCTTTGGGCAGCTTGACCCCCTTGAGCCTGACCCCTTGACGGACATGATCAAACATCTAAAAGTGCATTCTATGTTGGACTCCAGCAAAACAGCAATAAGTGACAGTCAAAAAAGAGGAATCATAGAGTGCATACACCCCAGGTTGTATTGAACGGAACCCACACACGCCATTACAAGCCCGCACACGTCGGCCTATCGACAGCAGAATCATTGCAGTCATCTTCGACGGTGGCATCCTTGGGGAGCTGGGCCGAGAGGGGGAGCTGGGCCGAGAGGGGCCCCAGCCTGGTGCTCGACCAGGTATACCATGTCGTCAGCACGCTCGTGCTCGACTCTAACAGTCCGATCGGGAGCATCCAACGACCCGACTGGTCATCAGTGAAAGGGTTGTAGAACCGCAAAAAAAGACACGGACAACACAAAGGATGTACGAAAGAACAACTGAAGAGCGGAAGAGGCTTGCTTGGTGACTTTTGTGTTAACTGGCGCTATCAGCCTTGACAGTGATGGTCTCAAGAGTGATGGCTGCTCCGTACCCTCTCGCTCATAGTTGGGAACACCTTCCTTCAAGGAACACTGCAAACTCCTTAGCTTTGGGAAAAGCTCTTATTGATATGTGTTTTGTGCCCACCTAAAGAGGTGCCTCCCAAACATCTCAGACATGGATCTCCATCAAGTCCTCAGGCGATAGGAATTGTTCTCCAGTAAAGAGGAGCACCACGATGTTGAACATGGAGATCTCCTTAGCTCACCAGGAGCTCAGGGCCGACCAGCAAATCTCAGAAACTGGGTCCGAACTGCTTGGTGCCTTTGCCTGGTGGGAAACAGACCATTTGCCAATCAGGTGTGTTTTTGCCAGCGCACACACACGCGCGGGCGGGTGTGTGTGTGTGTGCGTGTGTGTTTGAATATGGTTGAATTGAGTTGTTTTAAGTGGCCGCACTGGTTTGGTTGTTAAGGACCTGCTTCGAAACAAACAGAATTCGAGGCAACCCCTGTGCGAAAAGCACTTGCTGTATCCATCAGGATCAACAGCTGGCAGGCTAATCGAAAAAGGCTGAAAAAGGACATACCGTATGCACCAGGATAACAAAGGGTCTCCCTTCTCCACACTCTCACACACACTCGCAAACACCTCAGTCTTATCACTCGATCTGTGCTTGATGTTAATCTCGCATGCTCAACGTTCCAAGCGCCGCGGCCAGCGGCCACTGCGCTCCCCGGTCCGGATCGAAAGGTCCTCGGGCGCCGGACGCTGATGCCGCTGCGGTCCATCGCCCAGAAGGCGTGCATGAAGGCCAAGGAGATGAAGAGCCTCGGCAGGTGACCAAGGAGTTGGAGCACCTACCCGGGTGATCAGGTGCTTTATTGCTTTTCTCCCCACAGATTCTGGGGAATATGGAAGGCGGGTGTGGGCCAACCACCCCGAGTCTGCACTGCTAGTCCCATCGGTGTCTAGCCTTCGGGCAGCGGGCTCTGGCCGTGCGCGGGTTACCAAAGCCAGAACCTGAACGGGTTTAGCGCTGTCTTCCAAAGCTCTGGTAGGGAGTCTTTTGGGGATTGGCGAAAAGCCTTTGGCACTTGAGCTGGGTGTATTGAGAGTACACCAAAGGAAGTGATCCAAATGCATGCCTTTCTTAAGATCTTCTAAGAATGTGTCCATTGCATCTCTTTAACAATGAAGCCATCTCTTCATTACCAAAAGATGTAGTGGTCCAGTGGTTAGTGACCCTGAACCAAAAACTCCGAATCCTGCTGATTGAGACTGTCAAACGAATCCTGCTGATTGAGACTGTCGGAATTTGAACAACTCCGGAGGCATCTCAAGTGATCTCCCCACCTCCTGTCGTTCAAGGATGAAGGCTGGTTTTCAGGGCCCTTGACAAGCAGCAACCCACGCCATTCCCTACTCCAAGTTGCCTGGGATCAGATCCTCCCCCATCCGAAAAGGAAGCACTGACTCCAAGCTCAAACCCGTTTGATTCTCGTCTTATGCAAACGCCACAAGTACAAATGCCGGTACTGACAAATCTTGTGCACTGCTGAGCAGGTGAGGTCTTGAACATTGAGAATCGAATTGAGAATTGGGCAATTCTGCCAGGGAGTAATTACAACAACAATTATTATTCAATCAGGGTGTCAAACCAAACACGCTGGCACTTGTCTGATATATAGGCCGCCTATTATAGGCCCTATAGGCATCCGCAGCATCTCATCTGCACGAGGAAAATACCAAAGCACCAGGAACTAGCCGTGCTTTGGTTGGCTTCACAACAGGAATTCTAGTAATCCAAACACCCTTTGCCTCTGACCTCCTGTCGTTCAAGGGTGCACAGCTAAACATCCGTTTCCACACGGATTCCCTCCCAATTGTCTGAGGCACATGATGACCAACATGCCAACGATCGGGAGAACCGACTTCATGATGGGCAAGATCCTGCTGGAGTCCCATGATCCGCGATGCGTCTTGGCATATGGTCTGAGACTGGTTTTTGCAAATTATACATAGAAACAACAATATCCTATATCCTGCGGGTAAATAGTCCATCACAAACACATGTATAGAAACTGGCAGAAGCTGAGACATCGAGTCGATTGTTGCATGCGAAAACACCTTTCTCAGCTCACTAAGCAAGCCAGCCTTTCTCTGTATGAACCTCTATGCGAATCACGCTCAACCAGCCATAGGCCGAGCTGCGATTCTCGTGGTGCTTTGCACATGGATGTCTCTGCGCGCCAAATGCCCAAGGACATATCATGTCCCCCTGATCCACACCAACCCCTCTTCCACACCAACCCGGCCACGCTCCCGGTCCCGGCCTTCGGCCCGTGGCGCGAAACGCACGGATCCTCGGAAACGCGTGCGCGGAAGAAGGAGGGCGAGACGACGCGTTCGTTTGCGGAAGGAGGTCGCGAGAAGCTGAAAAGGATAGACCATGATAGACCTATCGGATTGGAAGTTGAAAAGAAAGGGTCAAAAAAGGAGTAGTGAGGGTTCAATGAATGGCCTGCCCGGATTGGACACGCACCTGATTCTATGGATTTTACCGAAGAACAATCGTTTTACGAAGGATTTGGGTTTGCAACACCAGGTCAACCTTTTTGAACATATAAATTAAAGCCCTGAAGGGTAGGGTAAACACCTTTTTATGAACTCAAGAAGTTGCTTGACCCGCGAATACTAGCATTTCAGTGCCTTGTAGCTAGTTCATCTGATTTTAAGCTTCGCTTTGTCATATCTTGGCAGGCAGTGAGAATCTTTTGAGGGAGTTGAATGTGGTTGCATTTCAGTCTTACTTGACTGAACCCCCGCAAGGGAATCTATTTAGCTTTGGTGCTTTCATTACTCATGTCAGTTTTGCTTGGCAGGAAACTTTCAGCTATCCGTTTTCAAGGTGAATTGGTCATGCAAGGGGCAAGTCATCACAGGGTGAACCACATGAGAAATTTTCTGCTCACGGTCCTTTCTTGACCTCTTCTGATGAATGGCTTTTTGAGTTCCTGCACATATGGTTGCTCTTAGCAAGTACGCAAGTAGATTCCAATTACCGTATGTACATGACATATTGTTTTAGAACAACATAAACAAATGTTGTAATTATATATATATACAAAAGATCCATGTAATGTTACAAGTCAAAACATATATCGTTGTTATGGACTGATATAATCCACTGACAATATAATATATTATATATACATAGACAAAGTGAAATGGCTGAACGTAACAAAAGACAAAATGGATGAACACTTTGTACATATGATATATGGTTCATTGGAAAGAAAACATGATGTACATATACATGTGCGATAATGTGTTCAAATCAAAGAACATGCTAATATATTGAATTTAATATATTGAATTTAGCCATGGATGTTCTATAAGAGGTGGCGGAAAGATTACTATTCCAAAAAAGTATGAACTAATTGATTTTGTATCATGTTGTTGGAAACAATGAAACTGCGTTATTATTAGTACAGCTGTTGTACACTTATAAGCTGTTAAGCAAAGATGGAAACTGTCATAGATAAGTTGTTAAATCAAACTATAGATGAGAGGTAAGTGAAAGTGTGTATAGTTTAAAGCTGGGACAACTGAACTAACAACAACTTTGATAACATAATTGTGTCATAGTATAATACAATATAACTTAATGCCCCTCTTGTTGGAAAAAGAGGAGATTCAATACATAGTAATAAAACTAAATATTGTTTGACAAGTGTGAGACAGCACTCACCGCATGAAAGCTCGCAAAAAGGCAGGAAGAAAGTTCAACACTGCAAATTGTGTTCCTCAAATCGAGCAAAAGAAGTTCGTACAGAGCTCCTCCCTCAAAACTAAACAAACAAGGGTAACAAAAAACACTAAAAATAAGTGACACCAAAACCAAACAAGATTTAAGTCTAGTAGCCATAGAGAAGATCGTGTTAAATCGAGTACTAATATATAGTCTGAGTCTAAGTGGCAAATTGTAAAGCTGAGTGACACAACATAAGCAAATCTGCGGATGAAGCAGCAACAACTAGCTAAACAATGCTATGTATGCTTTGCAACTAAAAGGCTAATGGCTACATAGGGTTAGAACTGGAACTAGTTTACTAACAGTATATGTTCAGTTAAGATTTTTTTACACGTTCTACATATTCTCCTTGAAAACATGTCTTTCGTACCATTACAACCTTTATTGTATTGGCTAAATGTCTAAAACACATCCGTGTTTATATTCCAGCCAAAAACATGTAATGTTCAAAGTATTAAAGCCATACTAATATTAAACTCATTATCTATATATTACTTCTTGACATATTGCCATTAATAGTAACGATATGTTAAAGAAAACTCTACAATATCAAATCGATTTTGAAGATATTTTTTTAGGTAAAAACACATTGTGAAATAGAGGGATGTTTTTAGACAAATATGAAAATGACATGACGGAATAAATGAACAACACTTAAGATATTCACAACATAGATGGTGATATGTACGATGACAATGAAAGTGATTATTGTTTTGCTGAAGACACAAATAACAGAACAACAAACAAAACATGCCTAACCAAAAACATATTAACTACATACCAACAAAAAATCAAAAGAATACACAAACAAACAAGGATTGGTTCCAAAGCCGTCGATTAGGACAGGATCGGCTCCGAGCCTCTCCTGCTACCCTATACCAATTAGGACAGCTAAATTTAGCACGTGTTTTGGAGCTCCATCTCCTTCAAACTATCTTTGCATGTGGTTTATTTTACTGTACTTTGTCCCGGTTCAACTTTCTGTGATTCAAGAATGTTTTATCCATATACAATAGTAACCCACAAATTGAAAACAAATCATGATTGAAATATGTGTTACAATTGGACATACTATAATAGTAATACTAGAGAAAGTCTTTTAAATATTACTTAAAACCATGAAATAATAGAAACTCTTAGTATTGGTCGACAGAAGCTTTGAAAAGTGATGTTTTCCATCAAGTTCAAATAGAAATGCTACATCACAGGCCATCCTTGTGGCTGGAATAGTTACGTACATGAATGGATCTTTTAAAAAATAAAACTATATTCATATTATATATATGGATGGTCTGGGATATATAGGTTAGGCCACTGGGAGACAACTAACAACTCATCTATGGTTTGGTAACCAATGGTTCCGAGGACTAAAATGGCTCCAAGGACTCATCTATGGTTTCGGGGCTCAGCATGATATAAATATATTATCATATTTGTCAATAAAACATATATGTCCTGAACTATTTTGAATATGTTTACTACTAATATAGAAATAGTTAAATAATGTTGATATGATATTAATGTACTGTCATGTTCACTTTCAAACAAACTATTAAATACAGAATGATGATTGTGTGACAATCCTAACATATTCCCTAACTAATTAGTACAGTTATTATCAATATCTATACTAATATATATATATATATTTATTTATTGTAGTTGAAATTGTACATGTTATGGTTGTTATATTATCTTCTATATTGAACAATATATCTAAATATTCTAACAAATTAACAGTATTACTAACTAAATCCTTGTCTGTTTGTCCGTTGAATCTTCTGTTTCCGCCCCTTCCCGTCGTCTGTCGCGTGAAAAACCCTTGCCCACAGTCCCAGGAACTCGAAAAGCATCGTAATCCAATGAAGCAGGCTATTGATCGAGAGTAGAATCGAACCTTGGCAACCAAATCGAAAGCGCAGCGAACCGGGACCCGGAAGCACCCATCCAGAACGTTCTGCGGGCGGCCAGTTGAGCCGCCCTGAGTCCATCAACGGACAGTCACCCTGAAGCCAGAAAGTATGAGCAACAGCTGAAATATGCTGAAATAGAAACTTTTTAGTCGACTGCGGTATGTTCATTTGAAGATCGGCAGATCAGACCCCGAAGGCGTCAGAATGGACGTCGAGGGGGCGTGCTGGAATGGACCCCATTGTTGTCTGATGGAGGGGGGCAAAACTGCTGTCTATAGGGTCTAAACAAATGAACCTGGTGGTCAAAGAGCTTCAACCCCCGGCAGCCGACAATGACTTGACGCCATTTGATGCAGTGGATGCCAGGACTTTTGCTTGCAGTCGGGAACCACAAGGGATACAACTCTTCTAAGTCTTTGGCCGGTCTGGATTACGCACCGACACATGATATGAGAATGGACGCAAATGGACAAGTATACTTGGTGGAGAGTGGACATGCATTAACTTGAAATTCATGTTCACCAAGTCTACTTTGTCCCTATATGGAACCATACCTGTAGAAGCCTAGCTAATTATGCTGATTTATGCTGAGTAGCTGGAGTCCCTAAGTACTCTATCTGGAGCCATACCTGCAGAAACCTACGTGTCTAAGTTTGCTGCTGGAGTCCCTGAGTAAAATGGAACGCATTCAAAGAAACTCCAGACAACTCTTGGAAGCTTCAGCTGCCCATGCTAGTACTGTTGGAGGGAAATCATGTACATGACTTCAACCGCACATGACATGACCATTCCTTCCTGCTCGCACGAGAAAACCACCGGTTCCCACGCACGTCGTCCAACAGCACGTCAGGACAGCCGGGCTCCCGGGCTATTGGCGACCGGCTCATAGTCCTGAGAAGTCTCGATGGCCAAAGCCAAGGCACAGGCACCCATGATGAAGCGATAGTAGGCCTGAAGCAAGAGCCGTGGAAGAGCAGTATGCAGAACTCTCCCGGAGCAGAACTGGTGCAGGAGAGTCGACATGGATGACTTAGTTGGAACGGAAAACAAGTAAGACCCTTCTGCGAATCAACAAACAGCTTGCGGGTTTAGTCTTACTAGTACAGTATGTCTATTAACAACAGCATATCTAAACTGAATCAAAATCTCCATAAAGATACAAAGAGCAACCCACATCCAAACTCATTTGCTCTTTACTGCAATAGACTCCGGCCGGAGGAACAAGAGACAAAACCCCCACACTTCCAATCACTCAGGTGGAGGTGCTAAATTCCAGGTGCATGTTTCCTGGTCTAGTTGTGGAGTTGTGGTTCTTTAATTTCTGCACCGAGGCACTCTTTTCATCCAGCGAATACAAAGCCGTCGACCTGAAGCAGAACGGAACGTCCAATTTAAACGGAAAAATCATGGTGTCACTTCGTGCATCGAGCTCGTAGACGGCATCGATGCCATTGAACTACCCAAACAACTCTTCGGAGTCAGGACACACCCTGGACCCTTTCCATTGGTTCAGGTCCCGATGATGGGAGCAAATATGGAGCAATGATATGGGGACAATAATGCACATGTGTCACCGACTTCGGAATGCGCAATTCCTTCGGCCTCATTCTGGTTAGTATGGTGTGCCAATTCCATGGCGACTCGAAGAATCTGGACTGATAGGAATTCTTAAAAGCGCCACAGTATAGTATATAGTATGTACGTACATCTAAGCACAATGACATACCATGACTATATTCATCTCATTCACCCTCCATGAGTTTTCATGTTATACCAAGCGTATCCCAGCGTCTGGGCCCGCATCAGCCACGACCCTCCTGCTGAGAACAAGACCCCCTGGAACCCCAGAGAAGGGGGGTGAACAATTCACCCTTTTCAACTCTCTCCCCACTCTCTAGATTTGGGAATCTCTAAGCGGCATGTCTCACTGCCGATGGCAATAAAGCTGGTTTCAGCAAGTAGAAGAACTTGCATCGGGTCCATTTAGCCCTGCTCGTTCATATCTTCAAGTCCTCTCCTCTCCAAAAAACAAGCAAAACAAACACATCAAGACATCAACTTGATATAACTTGATTCATACAGGTAGTTCAGCAAACAGATCCAAACCAAAAGCCAGTCTTTTTCTACAACAAATAACTAACAAACGCCACGGACGCGTACTCGGTTCACCAACCCCCACAACTTCCTCTCTCCCCAACCCTGCGGACGGAAGTATCAATTCGACTCAAGCTCCAAGAGGCCGAGTTTCGAATGGCAAGTCACACAGGTCCAGATCTGAGATCGGCCGTGATTTCGCGATCTGCTCGTCCGCAGCAGCCTGGAACCTCTTCGTAACCTCTATACGAGTAAGTCTCAGTTTCCAAGAGCCTCTGCAAGTAACCTCACAAGTACTTATATTTGTGACGTCTTTGTATTACTGACTCCGTTTCTACCGGATGGGTCTGAACTGATGGCCAGGTCAGAAGGGACGTCCACGTGAGGCGCGAGGGAATCGGTTTGGGTGCACCTGGGTTGGCAGTGTGCCTGTGGAATGCTCAATTGACGAAACTTGAAGAAAATCAAATCTGTACATCAAGTACATGTGGTGAAGACCCTAAACAGACCCTAAAGGGTGGAGACCCTAAACAAACCCTGTGGATCAAATCTGTGCTTCATCCTTCCACACCCTGTACTTGAAGACTCTAAACTCACGGACTTCCCAAGTGCTTCACCTTCCCAATAGCGCTCCCAGGCACCACCATTTCACACAACCCTTTCATGCACCCATCCATCGTAGGTCGCATGTGTCTATATTAGGTAATATATTAGGGACATTGAGTTACTTGCGCCACTTACACCCCTCTGCACATACTGAGTTAGTGCCATCTGGCTGTGGGTCAAAACCAGGATACCTTGCATGACCTACCGGCGGAAGCTCGTTCACTACATGGTGGACCAGTACGTGGCTCCAGGTCCAACTCACCACCCACTCCTCATGATATATCTATACTCCAGACCCCAACCGCAGAGCCGGACAAAACATATGGTTTGCTCAGCCGGGTGACGAACATGGCGATCTCCAAGATGCCCTCCGCGGCCAAGATCCCCCAGAGTGCGCAGCTGATCATCCGAGGCGTCTCCACCTGTCGGGTCGACCGTCGACCCTCGACCGAGGGGTCCCATGAGGTCCCGAAGACGACGACGCTGGGCGCTCATCCCCGTTTGGCCATGCCTGGGGTGACCGGTGGTGCGAATGCGTCTCAGACTCTAAGATGTTGGACCGTGTATTCGGAGGGATAGTCCATCATACATCCCAATGATGCCCAAAAACTATCCCAAAATCACCTCCAAAACGTTTCGTGAGGCCTGTGTGTTCGACCTCGGACCATCTCTTCGACCCTCGTCGACCTCCCTCGCCTGTGTGGCCAGAAGGATCCAATAGCTCAGGACGGCCGTGGACAAGAACTGCGCGGATCGCGGATCGCGACGACGGCGGATCCGAGGTTCCGCCGAAGAAACGGCCGTGGTGGCATCGCATGTGGTGAAGATGCGGTGAACACGCCATCTTAAGGTGTCGGATGTGGCAGGTGGACAGACTCGGACGACGACTGGGCCGACTGGAAGTCTGAGATGTTTGGAACGATTGGCCAGTTCCAAAAGCCAGAAGCGTGGGTCGATTTCTGCCACCACCCTTCTGGGGTGGCTGAAAAACGATTCCAAGCGAAATCGGAGTTCGGAGTTCGGATTCCAACCCTTTGATTTGGATTTGGCTTCACGGGGGATCGGGTGAACAAATGGTGCAGAAGATGCCTGGTTTAAGGTCGTGCATGGTCTCAAATCGCATGACCGGTCGTGCATGTAGTCCTTTTGATCCTGATAAAACGACACAGGACTTCGCTCAACATATGACTCCCCATCTTGGAGGTGGACATGCACTAGAAGAACTTCCAAGTCGAAGTATGGCACGATATGTTCATTTAGGGGTTCTTCCTTTGGCCAACCAGCACAGCCACAGTGGTTGGCTGGAGAAGGTGCCTAGAAAGGAGGCTGCTGGTTTTGAGGCTAGGATCCGGCCCAATGTCCCTGGATCGTGTGCTGCAAGGATCGTGTTCGGCCGGCCCAAATGGAGGTTATCGTCAACACCGAAACTGTCCATGTGACTGGAATAGTTACATACATTCATTTGTGAAACCAACCTAGACCATCCATGTATGGAATAGTTACATTTGTTCCATTCGTGACCCATCCTCAGGATGTGGTCTGGGACATATCAAGCACAGTGTCCTTCGCATGAAACGCATCACGGTCCGGTGAGCCTGGTGCCCCAAGTCCACGAGGAAGAGCGGCCTCCACGAGTGGCGGTGACCGTTGAGTGATAACGTGCGGTAAAAGGGTCCAAGTGACATTGGGCTTCCCAAGAGCTGGAGTCTCTAGGGCCTTTCCATTGCTACTAGTAACAAGTGCATCGCTACTAGTAACAAGTGCCTTACCAGTAGTAACGAGAAGCTATTAGTAACAAGTGCATCGCTACTAGTAACAAGTGCCTTACTCCCAAGAGCTGGAGTCTCTATGTATATACAATAAATGTATAAACAATCCACACATGACATATTTACCTATGATACATTGGGGTAGTTTGAGGGGTCAATGTAGGTATGCCATACATGATTTGTAAGTCGATATATACATATATATTATCACTTCCGCAGGCTCGTTCAGAAGATCCTAGTCATATGATAGGGGGGAATCAACGGCAGGGCGACTTGCAGCAACCAACCAAAAGTTTTGCATGTCCGTTCCTACAACCAACTTTCAACCAGTTTCTTTGGCACAACATGTGCAAGCCCTACCAAAAGTTGCTCAACACAGAGGTGTGAGTGATAGTGGTATATAACATATTTCAAGTTCAACTTTGCTGGGAAATATGGTCATGAGAGAAGTACCCCCACACCTGTTCAAGCCATCTTTGCAGCCCGGCCTGAAAGATTCCCAAAGGTGCTTCAGCAGCGCATGGACCACGAGCTTTGTGAAGATCTTCTGGTCCTTTGTGATCGCCTGGGCGGTGACTCGAGTCCACCGTCCGGTCAGAGAGCTCGGAGAGTTACGGGTCTACCGCTGGGTCTTCGGTCTTCGTCAGGTCTGTCGGGAAACAAGGATGTTCCGGGACATGGTGGAACAAAAACAGCAATCAAAGCTGATATCAGCATTGAACTGGCCCCCCGGACTGTGAATTGGAGCCCGGTGTTGTCCAGCGTAACTCAATGATCCTTGTCTCCAGCTTCTCAACTTAATGCTTCCATGCAGTTCTCTGGGCTTCCCCGGCCAGGCTATGAACCAGGCAACTGTTGATCACGCCTGGCAGTCTGAGAGTTGCAAGGGGGAGCTGATGGATTCACTTCGACAATGTCAAAAGCCTCTAAAAGCCTCGTCTGAGTGATGAGTTATAAGGTGGTATGAATCTATAACATCCAATGCATGAATTAGGCTGTATGACCTCTGGCCAGCAAGAATTAGCATCAGCATCAGCATAAAGGAGGGGGTCTTTGCATCTCCAGGCCTGCAGGGATCTGATCTCTAGGCCTGCAGGGATTGATACAACAACAGGTGACCTGCAGCCTTTTTCTTTCTCCGCATGCAGAATCATGCAGATCTCAGAAGCCCCTTCTCCAACCCGACATCCAGACACGCAGCTCGAACCACCCCAGAAAGACCCGAACATCCTGCTGTTTCAACCCAGGGAGCCAACACCGCCGGGCGAAAAAACACAACCCGCGCCCAGAAACACTGCCCGTCACGCAAAAGCCCGGTGCCTGGCAACATGAGGATCTTCACTTTCACCTCTCTGCTGCGCTTGGGGTCCTGTGGTGCCAGCTTCACCTGCACTTCTGCGAGGCGTGGAAGGTGGGAGGCGTGGCACTCGGGGTGCTCAAACGCTTCATGAAGCGACTAGATTACAAAGCAACTGCTAGGGTTCCAAGAATAGAAGTAAACAGGCCAGAACTACAAGAGCTGTAAATGAAAATGGCTATGGCATGCTATGGCTGAACTTTTGGGGGTATTGAATCTACCAAATATACATTGACACATATTGACACACTGCCTAGCAAATGCAGTCCCAGTCACAATGCTGAACTGATGACTCCTCCCCGACTTGGGTGAAAAAACCCTCCCGTTGGCTCCCTATATGGCTTGTCCCTCAAACCAAACCCTCCAAACATAGGAACCATGAAATCAACGTATGTGCTCCGTTTGACCATAGCTGACCGTATAGCTAACCAGCTAAGCGTTTCACCATTGCAATGCATTGGTTTCTGAGTCTCTGACTTTCCGGGCAAAGCATCGAATAAACGCTCCCCACGGCCGCAAAGAACACCCGGAGTGAAGCCGAAGAGTTCGACCACGGTGCCCCGAAGACAAAAACAAACATGCCATCGTTCCCTGGCTTTCGGGGGAGAACTTCTGGAGAGCGAATGACTGATGAGCCAAGGGGATGCAGGCACATGCAGTTGCGGGCCCTTTGCACTATATATTACTATATTTCACACATGTTATTTCTGCAAGACACAAAGGGTCAGCAAGAAAGAACAGCATCCTCTAGACTCCACACCTATACTATCCACTTTTGCCTTTCAGATGCCAACAAACCGGAGCTTTTCCATCAAACATGCCTCCCTTCACTCCCCGTCGAAGCCCCTCGTCCGATCGGCAGGTCTCTTAGTCCGCCTGCCAAGGAATATCCGGTCCGCCGCTCCAGGTCCACTTGTGGGGCTCGATGTAGGCGCCTGGGGGTGGCGAGTCTGGCGCCTGACCACTCCGAGTGTTTCACATGCGCTGCTCTTGAAAGTCATCGAACATGGTTTTTCATGTGATCAAACGGTGTGTTCGGCTGGTTTTGCTGGGCAGTTTCGGCATGTCCTGAGGCCACTGACATGACAAACGACAGGCTTCCTGGCTGTAGGGAATGTTAGCTCTGACCTCGGCCACAGGGTGAGTGTGCCAACATGTCAAACCTAGCCTAGCTGTGGGTGTGCTCCATGCGTGCTCCATACGAATCCAAGTTTCTCGATTCCGAAGTTTGCCCTCAAGAGTTGAGATCTGAGGCAGACAAAAGGTGCAGGAGTCTGGTGCAGTGTTATCTTTACAAAGCAATCTGATAACACAATGGTTGGTCAGATCCACATCCGGTAGACACCTGTGTAACTTATGCGCATTCTCTCATAATCTACCTTGCTGTCCAAGCATATGGGATGGGCGTGGCCACCCAACCCCCTCAAAACATCCTCAGTGGATACATGTGGCGTCTTCTCAATCACCAGGACTCCTCTTAGACCGGTCATGGACCCCCATCACCGTGTGCGCCCCGAAGGCGGTCGCGGCGGTCGCGTGCCACACCGAGCTCCCGGGCGGGTAAGGGATTATGTAGTTTGTTCTCTTCCTGCCAAGCTGTGTGGGGTCCCAAACAGGCGGCCCAGCGAGAACAGGCGAGGCGTCACAGGTGAGATGGCAAATTTGAGTCTCTGCTGCTGGTCTAGCATATGATCCTTCTAGTGGGTTGTTGGACTCTATTGGACACATTCCAAGTACACCACATGAGTATTCCTTCAGCCGAACGACCTTTTTTCTCAAGGTGGTACAAACATCCGAACACACACACACACAACAACAAATACATCTTGCCACTCCAGCAAGGGCTGCCCTGCCCTGCCCCACTCGGCTCTCACCCGGCCCAAGCCGCGCCAACCGGCCGCAGCCCACCGGTCCTTGGGATGCGTGGTGAGCATGTCCAGCAAGTCGATGGCCGATTGCGGCGCACAGTCAATGAGGTCACACAAGGTCGGCACCTGGGGTGGGGCATGGGGGGCGGGATGGATGGAAGCCGAGCCGAAAGGCGCGGCGGGTTGGAGGTCGCATCGAAGGGCGTATTAGAGAAGGTTAAAGAGTAAGCAAATTGAGCTAAATCAACTGTGGAGGATTTATATATGTGTGTGGAGAATTCTGAGAGAAATGGAACACGTATGAGGTCAGTTCCAGCGATCAAATATCACAAATACATCCATTGCACCACAAACTTGGCATTTTGTGCCTTAAGAAGCCTAAAGTGAGCTTGAAATTGCATGGCTGGAAACTCTCTCTTACAACTTGATGTAGCTCTGATGGGGGAATATCATTGTGATTCATTGTGTAACTGTATGTACGGATGAAAGATATTCCGCACCTAGCAGCAGGTGTTTCCGATGTTATATTGTTATTCAGTTCCAGGCGATGCAGGAATGTTTCAACTATATACTTTTGCCAGGCACACCCAGCTTCTTGCGCCTGCGGAATTTCAACCCAAGCAGCTGTGATGAGCTTCTTGCGCGCACCGCTGATGATGCTTTCCTTCCATTCCTCAACCGGGCACTCGAAGACTCTATAGGCCCTACTCACTAGGAACTTGAGGAGCTATCCATAATGCGCCTCGCTGTTTTACGGGCATCTACACACCGTATATCGTATGCTGTTACCTGCTCAGTGAGGTCCTGGGCTTCTGCGTTCCCTCTCCGGGCAAACAATTGCCCCTTTACGGGCTATACTACACAGTGAATTAGTTTGGACTCCTATGTCTATCCCTTCTAATTGCCTTCATAGGCTGTGGGTCTTTTCCTCGACGGGTCCCACAAATAGCAAACAGGCGCATGGTTTACCCTTCATCCAACACATGGAATTTGCAGGCATGAAAAGGCAAATTTCCCATGCCGTCTAGGAGACCAGGTCACGTGGAACCACGTTGCAAGGTTGCTGGATCTCTGTGCCTTTCACTTGGTGGTTGTTGCAAGATGGGGCAGGTAGCAACGGTTCGTTCATTTACCTAGGGTATCTCGAGCTCCCGGTCCGGTGTCCGGTTCCTAGTGTTTCCCAGGTTCCTGTGGTGCTTTTCTGCATGAATTGTTTTGTGTCCCGTTCCGGTTCCCGCCTAGCAAACGTTTGATGGTTCCTGATTTGTTGTTGTTTGAGCGGCTGGATTGGTGCGGGTGGTCTGATTGGACAAAATGCCGCCACCTCCTAATTATCCTGTCCCATCTACCTGCTGCCATCACCTCTACAAAAACAATTTAAAAAAAACAACTCAACCCTCAAGCCATTCTCTCCAGATTCTTCCAACATCTCACCGAGAATGACCACACCATGTAACACCACCACATCAAAAAACAATTCAACCCACACAACCGCCCACCCGCCCAAGACCGTCGACCAATCCGTCCGTCCTGGTTGATCTCCTTCTTGAAAATGCCCTCCTCGAGCTCATCCACCGTGTCGGGGTTATTGGTGTTATTGGGATCCACTCGCACCAGTGTGGGAGCGGCGTCTGGGCACGTCTTGGCCACTTTCAGGAAGGCTTGGACACGACCTCGCGAGGGAGCGGCGATGGTGGAGGGTCCGATGCAGCTCCCCGAGTGGAGAACTATCTGGAACTCTGGTGTTCAAAGGCAACTCTGAATTGATCCAGTGACCTGCTTTGAACACTTTGTTAGTCTTTGTTTCACAGTGTCACACGTAGAATACAGTATTTGGACTTCCAACTGCTCCTTGACTGGTGGTGGAGGTTGGGCTGTGACTACATCTTCGAACATGCGATGCTCTAAGACTCATACACTTCAGAGGTTTAGGAAGCACACACCTTTCAAACAAATGGGGTCTCCATGATCAGGTCACCTCGTTCGTGCTTTGCTTGATAGTCGGAAAGTCGTCTTTCCACCCCGTCGGAAAATCCACGATCTCATATCTTTTGGGCCACAACAAACAGTCGCATTTGGTATGTTCTATCGCCAGCCCTTCACGACGACGAATCGGAAACATCAGGGCCGCCTTCGGTACGGACGTCCTGTTCCTTAAAGGCTGCTTTCACCACATCCGTGAACAAGTGCAGCTTCTTCGCCGGAAAGTGCCTGAGTCAAGACAACCGGATCAGTCAGGACGGACTCGCTACTGCCGATGCGAAGAGCGTCACGCATCCGATCCGGACTCGGTCGGACCGGACCGGGTGGGAGATACCAGGAATGCTGCAGTAAAGCGACATGAGAAGCGACATGAGTGGAAGCGATGAAATCACACCGGTTCGTGCGCAACGACACTTGCTGCCTGGAGACGGGTGGGCTGTGGAGTCCAAGTTCCTCAGAATATTGGGTGACCTTAAATGTCATCCTGATCCTCAGATCTTCCGTCAGAAGATATAGTTATGTCATAAAGACTGACTATGGTCCATCATTTTTGATGGTTTTGTTCCGAACACTTCATTTCTATTTCCAAACCATCCATGCGTGGAATAGTTGCACACATTATCATACACCTACTCTGATGAGGATTTATGACCCTAATGTAGAAGACTAATCCATAAATGGATTGTCTGGGATTGAGAACTCACATATGTCAATGGCAAGCTCCAGATTTGCAACATGCTGTTTGAATCTGTTTGAGCGCACTAAAACATGGCAAAGGAACTGCCTGTGCCAGTACCACCTGAGTAAAAATGCTGTTGCAAACAAGGGCCACTTCCAGCACGAAACCACCACCCCTCTAAGGGCCATCCGAGACCCCTCCAAGGGCCATCCGAGATGCCCCCTCTCAACGGCCATGGTCAAGGGATCTTTGCCTTGAAAATTCTTGCCTCGTGACCGACGTCTGCGCGACGTGCCGCGGCCATCGGCCATGAGTGGATGAGCGGTCGAGATGAAGCACCAGTCACCAGGGCCATCCGTAAAGCAGGTGTGTGATGTGTATTTTTTGGTTTAAACACTCTTTTAAGAAGGGCAAGAGGAAACGGGTAGAGACGTGCTAGCAACATCATGTGTGGATCACTAAGAAACTTCACTGGTTTGGGGAATAGTTCGACAGCATAGGGAGTGTGCTACCAGGTGATGTGCCATGTTATTATTAGATTCTCGCTTCTGCTTCCTTTGGTCATGAACATCCTGTTCATATTCTACTGCGGTCTGCACATGCCCAGGCATGCACACAGCGGGGTCACCGTACTGTGATATTCTGTTTGGCCAAGCATATGTGCTGACAGGCACTTTCAGAATAAGAGCTCATGTTCTTATTGCTATGAAGCCAACATGATACGTATGAACGGTGGTGCCAGTGCCAGTGCCACTTCCGTCAGACCGACAACCGACGTCAAGCGACTCGGCGACTCGTCCGACTCGTCTAGCAGAGCGACGCTTCACCAATTGCAAGCTTTCCTTCATGGCACTTTCCTTCACCAATTGAAGCTTCTCCTGGCCATGAAGCTCCCCTTCCTTTGTCTCGCTGTTTTGGGTGTTTTCCCAGTGATTTTCCCGGTGACTGGTGCATGGAAACTGCAGGCTGCGCTGCTGGCTTGCCCCAGAAGTAAGGATTGTTTAAGCACAATAGTTGCAACACCTATGAGCGGGGACCAGGAGGAAGCGGGGTCTTCTGTAGGATTCCCACACATCTCCCATTTCCGCCCTAGACCCTGATTCCCGCACGTCCCTGCTCATTGCTTCTTCTCAAATGATTCCAATCTCTATGTCGAGGCAGCTCTACTTGAACCCATCCTACATGATCAATTGTCTCATTATAAAGCCTACCATCAAATTATCAAAAACCAAATGTATTGCAGTCCAAAAATGAAATCACACGCATGTTTCACCCAACGTAGGGATTTCTATAGCCAAACCTCTTGGTACACCCGATGTTCCCTGTCTACGTAAATGACGACAAGGGCAGGAAAGCCTTTGCAGTGGTTTCCAATTAGCGTGGATTTGACTTGACCCAGGCGCCTCTGCCTTCTGTTCGCCGCACAATTTCTCAGTCATCGGCATGGGAGGTTTGGCCTAGAGTGATGCGGGCCCACAGAATTCATGAGGTTCTGCAGGTGGATAGATTGCTGTGTGTTCCATGTTAATTGTCCCATGGTGCAGTGGTGGATCCATGGTACTCTTACCAATAAAGTATTTGGATGGAAGATGATGAACGCCAGTTTAGATGCACAAACCTCTGACATGTTCAATAAATCTGACGCAGTGGAGCACCTCTTCCATCAACATCATAACAGAAAGGCGCCATCTGGAGATCGGTCTGTCTGATATATCCAGTCAAGTCTGAGGCAACTGATCAAACTACTTCCATTAAACAGGAGAAACACATATTATCTATCACTTATAGCCAAACATCCAGCGATGATGCCCAAGCCTGAATTCAAGAGTTCCAGTGTATAGAACACAACGGGGGCCGTCTCTATCAAACTCCTTGGCAATCTGAAGATTGACAAAATGATCTCCACCAACCAGGAGGAATGATGCAGGTGCTGTTCAATGTCGGCGCAATTCCAAGCAGTGTGGCAGTGAAGGGACCCCCTGCCAAAAGCACCAGTTAAACCATGTTAAACCCTAGAAAGGAAGATCCAACGATGGTGATCTGAAGATGCGCGGCCTCAAGTATGTGCAATGAATGCAGATGTCAGTGTTCTCATACCAGGACACACGGAGGACCAACCGCCCCCTCTAAAGGGATACAAATAGACACCCCTTGCGGGACCCTGGTATATGATTCTCTCCCAGACCATCCATATATGGAATAGCTACATACATTGGGGTCGTACATGGAGTAAATCCATGTAACTATTCCACGAAGGAACAGTTGATGTATATATATATATTATAATTACATATTATATTACATATATTGTTATATATTGTTGTATACATACATATATATATATATTATACATAATTAAACTATTTGTGATATTATGTTTGTATTCCAATCCCATGGATGTAACTATTCCAATGTAAACTATTTCCATGGATGGTCAGGATATGCCAGGATGGTCTGGCTTGATACTCATCCCGCGACATTCATTTCCTCACACCATCGTTCCAGGCTCCCAGCGTTGCTCGTATGGCGATCGTGGAGGAGATACTTCACCAAATCAGCCTCGTGGATGACATGGATGACATGGAGGGTGCATGCCGGGTCCAGCTACCTCATGAGGATGCTTCTGGAGGTGAAAGTACATGATGATTCTGGGCCCTCTAGGAGTCTTTTTGCCACTGATTAAACAAACAAATTAATGATCCACATGTGGGGCATCTGACTGGCTATGTTAGTGTTGGTGAATGTGGATGAATGTGGCAACCCAGGTCCCCAAACTGATTGCCTTATAAGTGACTTCTATGACACAACGCTCTTGCCGCAATCTAAAGGCACTTCACATAATAGAAGTTCCGGACAGCAAACAATGCAAATTTCCTTCAGTAGCATCAGACTTTCAAATGGCAAAATAAACACCAAGGCAAAGTTCAAACTGTCGCTGGGTCTGTACATTACGACACCTGCGTTTGTTGTCTGTGTTTACCCCGTACAGGTTTTCTCCTGAGGTTCTTTTGTGCAGACTTGTCCAGAGCTGTGCTCGTGCCAAGGGCCATACCTAAATCACCTATACGAAGGAAGGGGCCCCCTGGGCAGGATCCTCTTAAGTTCTTTTTGAACCTTAATAACAAGTAACATGTTTCTTCTGTGAGGGGTTTATTGTGACATGGCCATGACTTTGTCATGCCATCGGAGTTGTCCTATGGATGCACTGGGCTAGGAACCGTTCTGTACAGGCTAACAACATCCAGCAACGCTTTACTAGGACCAGGATTGCTGTCACATGAAACCCATGTGACCCAATTGAACCACAGCGTACATAATATACATGCCCTGGGATTGTGAGGTATGTATGTTTCGCTAGGTAACATATCCTTCCCAATCCCAGATTTTGAAGTAGGTAAGGAGTATGCAGCATGCATGTTTCCCACAACAAACGCATCAACATACGCACATTGGGTTTTCGCGGTATGTATGTTTCTCCTGATAACATACACACACACATGTCAGATATAGGACTCCATGCATTTCCACATATATACATCGGATTGTGCGGTAAAAAAGAACAGGCAATTGTGGGCGATGAGGCGATGAACGGGCATGGAATCTCAGGGCTCTGTCAGTCAACGGCGTCTATATGTATCTATACTGGATCGATGATGTATGTATCATACGTACGTAGGTTGACAGGGCACGCACACACACACATTTACATATACTCTTCATTTCAGGAGTAACGCACCCTTTGCAGGAGTAACATACATCAATAATCATATACATGACATGCACGTGACATACCAGTGCCTGGGGGGCCGGCTTTTCCTGGTCTGCAGGTGAAGTGCCGGTGACACCCGCCGCACCGAGCTATGGCTCCGGGCATGCCCCAGCTTGGCGGCCAAGTGAAGCGCCGTGTTTCCCTCATTGTTTTTGGCCTCGAAGCGCCGGTCTGGATCGGACCACGGAAGACCTTGGAGGAGCTGGGAAGACGTCATGAATTGGTGAGAAATTGAACTGATCGACGTTCTCTGAGAACCTCAAAAATGCTTTGAGGAGCATCTTGGATTTACCAGGTTGTTCTGTCTGCTTGAGAGGTTGTTTATATGGTTGAAAACACCCTCAGTCTTTTCTCGGGAGACGGTCCCTGCAATGTTGGATCTCTTCATCATGTGTAGCCAATGTCCATCCGTCCATCAATCTGGACTAGCAGCTCCAGCACGGCAATGGATGTTCACCTTAATGATCCTAAGTGGTGGGTTTCCTCAACAAACAAGCGTTTGTCCAGTAAGGGTTTGTCGTTTCTGATTCTACAGGTATCCCTTCGCACAGGATGGGTCTTTATTCGACTGCTCCTGGTATTCCAAACCGCGCGTTTAGAGCTCTACAGGACGCTGAAATAGTAGTGAAGACCTTTTGGTTTAAAACAATTTTCCATCAAGAGTGTCATTGTGTAGGAGGATTTGCAATCAATCCCGACCAGGACATGTCGAAGACATGGATCTATGACAAACGTTGAATATGCAAACAGATTTTCCTGATGGTCCTAATGTTTGGGTAGATTCCAATTCTACTATACGAGACTCTGCATCTTTGTGTGATACCGTCTTGCTTATTGCCGATTATTCTTCTCTCAAGGTTTCAGTGGTTCGGCAAATGTGCCCAAGAACTCCTCGCAAATCAAACCTGTTCAAATACTCCACCAACAAACCATTTGCAACCAGCTATTTCAGCACCCAGCTGAAACCAAATCTGACATGAGATGTGTCAAAAAGGGCTTCGATTCCACCATCAACACATGTCATGCAAGAGACGCCGTGCGGCAAAACAGAAGCACATGCACCATGTAATGTATAATCATCCTGGAGTACATAGAATATGAATGATAAAAAAAAACACCCAGTTTCCTATACTCTTGGATTGATCCATATTCTATCTAGTCCAGGATGACTGTATATTCACCACATCTGTCGCTAAGCCGGGAGACAAAAATATTGGCTCTTTCTTCCAGCAAAGCTTCGACGCTCTCCTCGTTCTCACCACCCGGTGGTGGGAACGCAACACATTTCTGACAGACTTGGAGAATGAGGTGAAAGTGCTTGCAACTCAATTAAACCAATCTCTCTCTCTATTAATATATATATATATATCAATTGTTTTGATCATGATCTGTTGTACAGCCCTGGACCCTGGAGCCATAATTATAGTTAGTGGATGTTAGTGGTCTATTTATACGTTGATTAGATTGTTGGAGAGCAACTCACACCGGCATTGCATTCCTAAAATGAGACGTTGCTTTATCTCAGAAAGACCGCAGGCGCCGCAGGCTCTTCTTCTGTGAATTCTGTCGCTCATGGAACACAAATAGGAACCAAAGAAAGCTTTCTCAATCAAAAAAGAACCAAATAACCTTCCTTCCATCGCACCAGGATTATTTTTATTTCCGTGTTAAGGCACTTGCCAGTTAATAATCAGCGCCGGCCACAATTCCGCTTTTTCCATGCCACAGGGGGAGCGGCGCACTGTAGCTCCCTTTTGGTGAAAAGCCCGGACAATGTTGCAGCAAACTGACACACACACACACAAACCTGCTGAAAGTGCCTGTCTCAAAATGTCATCCGTCTATGTCTGTCTCACTCCCTACAAGGAGGTTTGCCCTGAGCAGAATTTGCAGCCGAAACAGGCAGAAGACTGAGCTGGATTGAGCTGGACGAAGCTTACAGTACACCGAAACGTCCCTGCCTCACCTTCTCAATTTAAGAATGCTTGCCCTCGACCAGCTTCAACTGAACTTTAAAGCTCGAAAGCAAGGACACCCGCACAAAGTAATCCCATACACTCGAATGGCCACTTCAGTCCCATACTTCGATCCGTCCGCTTGAACGTCCGGACACCTCCGGCCACACCCAAAGCGCTCGCTCGCGATCTCGAGCTCGAACCCCTTCAAAGCCCCCGGGGGGTTCCGGGTCCTTTTGCCCGAACCATGCCGCGTCATGGATGGGGTAGTAGTGTACCTCCTTGAAGGCCGCAGCCTGACAGCGTCGCGTGAGCTGGAGCTAGAGCTGGAGCTCACGCAGCTGCGCGAAGGTTCGATGCGATCCAGGAGGGCTCTCTCTTTTCAAAGACATCATGTAAATGTAGATAGAAACGATTTCCATGGGGATCTACGTTTCTATCCATTTGGAAGTCTATATGTCATCATAAATCATGTCCATCTACAAACCCTAGGGATCAGTTGTACTGAACCTCAGAAGGTGCGACTGGACCCTCCTGGCACCTACAAAAAACCGTGTCTCTGTCCTCACTGTACCTGAGAAGGTATATACTTGGATCCCTATAGGGAAATTCCATCCAATTCCAAAAGAACCCTGGAGGAGGGGGCACAGCTGGTCCGGTTCCGATTGTACGGGGGATGCCCAGCACCGTGTCGGGCAGAGCCCGCCCTCCGGGCCGAGGC